GTGACAAAGACTTGCATGTGGACACTTTTCAATAAAACTTCTGCACTAGCACATGTGCAAGCACCTCCCTGGAGAGTCCATGCTCCTCAGGGTCAGTCAATGCAGCCAAAATGACCACCTTTCACAATTTACCTAATTGACATTCTTTGCCTTTTTGACTCGGAAGCTAGGTAACTTGGAGAAATAAATATTCATGTCTTGAAAAGAGTTCACATTACAGAAGAGGAATTGCTGGAGGTCTTAAAATGCATAAAGGTAGATAAATCACTAGGACCTGATTAGGTGTTTCCCAGAACTTTGTGGGAAGCTAGGGAAGAGATTTCTGGGCCCTTTGCTAAGATATTTGTATCATTGATAGCCACAGGTGAGGTGCCAGAAGACTGGATGTTGACTAATTTAAGAAAGGCTGTAAGGAAAAGTCGGGAATCTATAGACCAATGAGTTTGATGTCAGTGTGGGTAAGTTGTTGAAGAGGATTCTGAAGGACAGGATTCACATGCATTTGGAAAGGCAAGGACCTATTAGGGATAGTCAGCATGGCTTTGTGCATGGGAAATAGTGACTCACTAACTTGATTGAGTTTTTAGAAGAGGTGACTAAGAAGATTGATGAAGGCAGAGTGGCAGGTATTGTCTATATGGACTTCAGCAAAGTGTTCAACGAGGTTCTGCATGGTCGGGTTAATAAGGTTAGATCTCATGGGATTCAGGGGACTTTGTCAATTGGATACAAAATTGGCTTGAAGGTAGGAGACAGAGGGTGGTGATGGAGGGAATTTTTGGACTGGAGGTCTGCGACCAGTGGTGTGCCAAAAGGAAGAATGAAGGGTCCACTGCTTTTATTTAAAATTAATATGTAATATATATGTATGTATGTACATATAAATGGTTAGGATGTGAATATAGGAGGTATGGTTAGCAAGTTTGCCGATGATACCAAACTTGTCGGTGTAGTGGACTGTAAAGAAGATTATCTCAGAGTACAATGTGACCTTGATCAGATAGGCCAATGGGCCGAGGAGTGGCAGGTGGAGTTTAAGTTAGATAAATATGAGATGTTGCAATGTGGTAAGGTAAACCAGGGCAGGACATATACAATTAGTAGTAGGTCCTGGGGAGTGTTGCTGAACAAAGAGACCTAAGGGTGCAGGTGCATAGTTCCTTAAAAGTGGAATTGCAGGTAGACAGGTGGTATAGAAGGCATTTGACACACTTGCCTTCATTGGTAATGACTTTGAGTAAGGAGTTGGGATGTCATATTGCAACTATACAGGACATTGCTGAGGCCACTTTTGGAATGCTACCAATTCTGGTCACCCTTCTTTAGGAGAGATGTTGGTAAATTTGAGAGGGTGCAGAAAAGATTTACAAGGACGTTTCTGGGACTGGAGGGCTTGAGCTCTAGGGAGAGGCTGAATAGGCAGGAGATCTTTCTCCCTGGAGCATCGGAGGAGTGACCTTATAGAGTTTTATAAAGTCATGAGGGACGAGGATTGGATGATTAGCCAATTATCATAGAGCAGAGGAGTCCAAAACTAGAGGACATAGTTTTAAGGTGAGAGGGGAAAGATTTAAAAAGGACCTGAGGGGTAATTTTTTCAAGCTGTCAGAGGAAGTGGTAGTAGCAGGTATAATTACAACATTTAGAAGGCATCTGAATGGGTATATGATTAGGATGGGTTCAGAGGGATATGAACCAAATGCTGGCAAATGAGACTAGATCAGATTGGGATGTCTGGTCTATGCAGATGAGCTGGACTGAAGGATCTGTTTCCGTGCTGTATAACTGTGACTCTATGATTCTATGATTCCTGTCTTTGTTGAAGTTTTCTTCAGGCTTTATTTTTTAAGTGCATTCCACACGGTCTACCTTTTCGTTGTGAAATTCCTTGCTAAAGATAAATCCATTGGAAGGATTAATCACATGTTAACTATCTTTCTAATTTGCTGAATTTATTGTCAGGCATTTTCAAGGGTTACTTTATTAAAACAGCAAACGCTGATGGCATCATTGAGGTCTACTGCCTGGGAAAGAATGATCACACTTTACAACGATGGAGGCAGTATCAACACTGAGCTCGTCTGACTAACCCAGAGTTATTAACAATTGTTTCACACTATCAGTGCACTAACTTCTCCAGAGTAGCTCCTTCGATAATGTACCACCAGTACTTTTCCAAGCAAAAACATACAATGTAATAATTTTCCTGTAAAATATGTTCATCAGAGGCACACACGTCCTGTCACCTCAGAAACATGTTTAAATCCATCTGACAGACGAACGAATGAGTCTTTCTGCACATCTGCAGTTTGTGTTCTAACTTGGCACAAGTGGCTTCTGTGGAACTCATTACATTTCTGAAGAAGGGTCCCGACCCGAAACGTCAACTTTCCTGCTCCTCTGATGCTGCCTGGTCTGTTGTGTTCCTCCAGCTCTACACTGTGTTATCTACAACAGAAGACTTGATGGGCCAAATGACCTAGTTCTGCTCCTACCTCTTATTGTCTTTGGGAACTTAAGAAACTCCCTCATGGCGGTGGTTCTGTTTTATGTTGGGAATAATATTTTATTGTTGAGACAGAGCAGAGCGAGCCTTACTTTGTCACAGCCTGACCTGAGCATGCTCAATGCTGAGTGACACAAGCTGGAAAATGTTCTATTTCTCAAAACTTCCATCCTGAAGTGAACTGATTCACCAAAGTAAACTCTATAATGTAATGCATAATGGTGGGAAAGCACTTTAAAATCTCTGATTTGTTAGATCAGGAAACAGTAGTAAAATATTTGTTAGTAGAAGCATTTTGCAATGAGTCACACATCTCGATATATATAGAGAATTGTTGACTATATAAAAATGTACCTTAAGTACCAAACTATACAGCAGTTATTGCAGAGATAAGCAATCCCCTTTGAAAGCCACAATTGAACTTTTCCCAGATCCTATGAAACAGTCCATACTGATGTCACCATTGCCTCTTTTGCCAACCGTGTTAAAATGGTGTCCTCTGGCTAATGACCCTTCTTCCAAAGGGAACTGTTTCTCTCAACCTACTCCATTCAGGGCCCTGATGATTTTGAACAACCCTGTTTCCTATCAATCTTCACATCTCCAAGAACGGCCCCAGTTTCTTCACAGAATCATAGAATCATACAGTGTGGAAAAGGCTCTTCAACTTATCAGGTCAGCATCACTTATTCACACAACTGAAGTACCTCATCCCTGGAACCATTCTTGCAAATGTTTTCTGTTTTCTCTACTGTCTTGCAGCCTTTCTAAAGTGCAGTGCTCAAAGCTTCACACAGTATTATCCTTGAGGCAAAAGCAGTGTTTTATCAAGGTTCATCAGAACTGCTTTGCTGTTGTATTCTATTTCTATTTATACAGCAAGGATCCTGTATGCATTTTAGCTATTTTTCAACATTTCCTCCCACGCTTCCCCCACCCGCCCCCCGACAATTTATGCACATTGTTTGGGATAGAAATGCAATCTGTACCAACGTGCTTTTTGGCTTGCTGTAGTCATGTGACTGCTACCATGTAGCACACACATTCGAGGCAGCCATCTTGCAAGTACTTCAATAAACACCATCGTGAAGACAGACTGCTGCCTTGTTAATGCAGAACATTCATAAAACGCTCAGATCCTTACAACATCTTCATAGTCATATCCTATAGCTCATATTGACTTGACTTGTTCTTCTGACCAAATGTCTCACTTCATACTTCTTTGCATTAAGGTTAACAGGCTACGTCTGCACCCAGTGCAAACCTGGTCTCTTAAAGTTTATCATTATTCTCCCCACAGTTCACAATAGTTCCAAGTTTGTGTTATCTGCTAATTTTGAAATTGTACAGTGCACACTCGAGTCAACATCATTATATATAAAGAGGAAAGGCAGTGGTCCTGGTACCGATCCTTGCAGAGCCTCATTATGTGCCTTTTGCCAGACCAAAGAGTAACCATTCACAGCAATGTTCTGTGTCTCTCAGTCAATTTCATGTCATTGCTGCCACTCTCTCTTTCTATCGGTTTCTATTTTGCTAACAAGCCTATTATGGGTGGTTTATTATCTTTTGGATGTCAATCAACCTCAAGACCCTTATCAACACTCTACCTCTCTAAGAAAAAGCCTGAACTGTATTTACACAAATATTTCTGCTGAGTGGAATATTAAATAAGAAATCATTTTATTGCTCATACCCATTCCATTCACTAATTGTACATTTTAACAAGACAACTCCAGTTGAATTAACAATTCCAGTCATAACATACTCCACGCAATGTGTTGTTCTATTATTTCAACCAAATTATAATTGTGGGACACAATTCAAATTTCTCATTGGTGACAAAACTATTCACATGAAATAACAAGGTACAAATTAATATTTCACTGGAATTCAGGATAAAATTTAGCTAAAGCTTTATCAGTTACAGCATTGTTTCTCTATCCAACAGCTGACAAATTTTTCATTTGTTTTGTATTAACTGCAACTAATTTTAGATTATTTCACACAATGCCACTTGTCATTTGATGCTGATATATATTCCAGCTTATACGGCAGCTGTATGGTGCCTTGGTTCTTCTTAGGGTTCACCCTCATTAATTGCTTCTATTTTCACATTCATACACAAAAGCCTCATTACAGAAATACACCCACACCTCGTGATAGTTGGTAATATGTTCCATTTATTTAATCTGTTCCAAGTGAAGATCTAATGAGTCTTGTTAGTTTCCAACAAAGGCCCAGAGTGGCTGTATATTGGTCATGGTGTATCATGTGTATGGAAGAGGAAAGGTTTTGGGAGTTACGCCAACAACAACTAGATCTCAGAGCTGACCAAGTATGAGCTAATAATGTTAGCAAAACCACAGAAAAGCTCATGCATTGGTCAATGAAGTGTACATTTGAGTTAGAGATTCTCTAGTGGTGCACAGAGGCAGGAAAAGAAAGGCTTTTTTTAAGGAACAAAATTAGATCATTCTGTTCCATTTCTTACCCTCACAGCCTGTTCCGTCTGAATTTAACTCATATCCAGTATCGCAGCGACAAAGGAAGGAACCATAGGTGTTGATGCAATGTTGGCTACAAGGATTCTCTCCGGCGCATTCATCAACATCTACAGCATGGACACACAGAATCAGTGTCAGCACAGTGAATCACTTGTTGTAATATAATATAGAAAATATCCTTTATCCACTTGTGAAAACATTGTCATAGAGAATGTCAGGTGACCACTGTCAACAACCAACACAAACATTCCAGATTGTTGAATTGGGGTTAAAGAGGCAACTAGCAAAGAGTTCAGTGTTAAAGACAAACACATGGTCAAATTTGAGCACAAGGTGAAAATATCTCACAGTCTTGACACATAGGCAAGGAAAATACTTACTCAAAAAATGAATGGAAACAGCTACATGGCAAATAATTGACCTTCTGTCCAAAGCAGCAATGTTTTTTTAAAGATAACAATTGGATGTGACCTATTAGGCTTTATACTTTATACTTTATGCTTTATGCTTTATACTATATTACAGAAACGTGGTTACAGGATGGTTATGACTGGGAGTTAAATATCCAGGGGTATTAAACTGTTCGGAAGGATAGACAGGAAGGTAAGGGAGGTGGTGTTGCTCTGATTTTTAAGGATGATATCAGGGCGGTAGTGAGAGATAGGTAGGTTCTACTGAACAAAACGTTGAATCCATTTGGGTGGAAATTAGGGATAGCAGGGAGACGAAGTCACTGATAGGTGTGGTCTATAGGCCACCAAATAATGACATCGTGGTGGGGCGGGCAATAAACATAGAAATAGCTAATGCATGTAAAAATGGTACAGCAACTATCATGGAGGATTTTAATCTACATATCGATTGGTCAAACCAGGTCAGTCATGGCAGCCTTGAGGAGGGGTTCATAGAATGCATCCGCGATAATTTCCTTGAACAATATGTAATGGAACCTACGAGGGAGCAAGCTATCCTAGATCTAGTCCTGTGTAATGAGACAGGAATAATTAATGATCTCACAGTTAGGGATCCTCTCGGAAGGAGCAATCACAGTATGGTCGAAATTAAAATACAGATGGAGCATGAGAAGGTTAAATCCAGTACCTATGTCCTGTGCTTAAACAAAGGAGACTATGTAGAAATGAGGGAGGAGTTAGCTAAGGTAGAATGGGAGCAAAAACTTTATGGTGGGTCAATTGAGGAACAGTGGAGGACTTTCAAAACAATTTTTCACAGTGCTCAGCAGAAGTATATACCAGTGATAAGGAAGAACTGTAGGAAAAGAGAGAGCCAGCCATGGATATCTAAGGAAATAAAGGAAAGTATCAGATTGAAAAAAAACAAATACAAAAAAGCAAAGATTAGTGGGAAACTAGTAGACTGGGAAATCTTTAAAGGCCAACAGAAAGCCACAAAAAAAGTTATAAAGAAAATTAAGGTAGATTATGAGAGTAAAATAGCTCAGAATATAAAAACAGGGAGCAATAGTTTCTATAAATATGTAAATCATAAAAGAGTGGCGAAAGTAAACATTGGTCCTTTAGAGGATGAGAAGGCTAATTTAATAACTGGGAATGAGGAAATAGCCGAGACATTAAACAGTTATTTTGTGTCGGTCTTCACAGTGGAAGACACAAATAACATGCCAAAAACTAATGGCAAGAAGGTTATAACAGGTGAGGATCTAGAAACTATCATTATCACTAAAGAGGCAGTGCTGGGCAAGCTAATAGGGCTAAAGGTAGACAAGTCTCCTGGCCCTGATGAAGTGCATCCCAGGGTACTAAAAGAGGTGATGGAGGAAATAGCAAATGCACGAGTAATTATTTACCAAAATTCACTGGACTCTGGGGTGGTTCCTGCAGATTGGAAAACAGCCAATGTGACGCCACTGTTTAAAAAAGGAAGTAGACAAAAAGCAGGTAACTATAGGCCAGTTAGCTTAACTTCGGTGCTGGGGAGAATGCTTGACTCTATCATTAAGGAAGAAATAGCAAGACATCTGGATATAAATTGTCCCATTGAGAATACCCAGCATGGGTTCATGAAGGGTAGGTCATGTTTAACTAAGTTGGTGGAATTCTTTGAGGACATTACTTGCATGGTGGACAATGGGAAACCTTTGGATGTGGTGTATCTGGATTTCCAGAAGGCATTTGACAAGGTGCCACAACAAAGGCTGCTACATAAGATAAAGTTGCACGGTATTACAGGTAATGTATTGGCATGGATCAAGGATTGGTTGACCAGTAGAAAGCAAAGAGTAGGGGTAAATGGGTGTTTTTCTGCTTGGTGGTCAGTGGCTAGTGGTGTGCCTCAGGGATCAGTGTTGGTACCGCAATTGTTTACAATTTACATAGATGATTTGGAGTTGGGGACTAAGTGTGGTGTGTCAAAATTTGCAGATGACACTGAGGTGAGTGGTAGAGCAAAGTGCGCAGAAGACACTGAAAGTCTGCAGAGGGATATAGATAGTCTAAGTGAGTGGGCAAAGGTCTGGCAGATGGAGTACAATGTTGATAAGTGTGAGATCATCCATTTTGGTAGGAATAACAGCAAAATGGACTATGTTTTAAATGGTAAAAAATTGCAGCACGCTGCTGTGCAGAAGGACTTGCGTGTCCTCGTGCATGAATCGCTAAAAGTAGGATTGCAGGTGCAGCAGGTAATTAAAAAGGCAAATGGAATTTTGTCTGCCGTTGCTAGAGGGATGGAGTTTAAAAACAGGGAGGCTATGCTGCAGCTGTGTAGGGTCCTGGTGAGGCCACGCCTGGAGTATTGTGTGCAGTTTTGGTCTCCTTACTTGAGAAGAGATATAATAGCACTGGAGGGGGTGCAGAGGAGATTCACTCGGTTGATTCCAGAGTTGAGAGGGTTGGATTATGAGGAGAGACTTAGTCGACTGGGATTATACTCATTGGAATTCAGAAGAATGAGGGGAGATCTGATAGATACATATAAGATTATGAAGGGAATAGATAAGGTGAAGGCAGGGAGGTTGTTTCCGCTAGCAGGTGAAACTAGGACTAGAGGGCATCGCCTCAAAATAAAGGGAAGCAGATGTAGGACTGAGGTCAGGAGGAACTTCTTCACCCAAAGAGTTGTGAATCTGTGGAATTCCCTGCCCAGTGAAGTGGTTGAAGCTACCTCGCTGAATATTTTTAAGGCAAGGCTAGATAAATTTTTGAACAGTAAAGGAATTAAGGGTTATGGTGAGTGGCGGGTAAGTGGTGCTGAGTCTCAAAAAATCAGCCATGATCTTATTAAATGGCGGGGCAGGCTCAAGGGGCCAGATGGCCTACTCCTGCTCCTAGTTCTTATGTCCTTATGTTCTTATGTTCTTATACTTTAGCCTGATAGACTTTGAACAGACATCATCTACACATCTACTTATTACAATTTATGGGAGCATGTTGCTTGCAAATTGTTGTATTTTATACAACGGTAACTACTTTCCTACTATTGACATTGGCATTAACACTATTCCGTATCTATATCACTCCTATCATTAGCACTTCCTTTGTATATTGCTCTGGATTCTCTCACCATCTGTTCCACTCATTCCTCCTCCTCCTCTATCAACAGCATTAAAAAAAAATCAGTTTCCAAACCCCCTTTGTTCTGAAGAGTCATATCAGAGCTGAAATGTTATCTCTATTTCTCTTTTCCCAGGCCTGCTGAGTTTCTCCAGCTCTTTCTGGCTTTTATTATTTCAAATCTCTAGCGTTTGCACTACTTTGGTTTTTTTTCACTGTAACTATCTACTGGCTGTAAAACATTTTTATGATGGCCTGAGATTGTAACAGGCACTATATTAAAGCAATTTATTTATTTTTGCAACAAATGGTCACTACAGTTGAAGAAATCCTCAATTGAGACCATCCCAACCTGTCAGGCATCCTAAAAGAGGAATTGACAAAGAATGTTGCATCAAAGGACAAATAATGTGCCAAATGTGAATAATTTCAATTCGGAGTTACTGAAAACAACATTTTGCTGATGCCATGATGCTACCAGCATCCCCCACTCTTGGGATTAATGTTTCACTCTCCAGCCAGAATCAGCCCACCATAGACAAGAAGACCTAAGATGATTGGAGATAAGTCCATGTGCGTGTAAACAGTTATCACTGAAATCTGCCTGTCTCACCTGCTGGTATCCGGAATGAGGTGGTGCTTGGCTCAGCCTAGTTAGACTGTAATGTTTCTTGAAATAGCAGAATAAAGGCAAGTGGTGAGTGGGTAGGTGGTTGCAGGGAAGAAGCTATCCACTAGATCTACATTGAGCTGAATGAAGAATTATTGCAACAGAGTTCCCACAAATTTCCTTCATGTTAGTAAGAAATGGGAGCCAACAGTGGAAGAATGACTTTCTCACATAGATAACATGAAACATAGAGTACAACATCAAGATCCATAGTGTCCAAAGGAATGGTACTGACTGGGAAACTAACAGTTAAGCTATGGCTGAAGCAATCTTCCACTTTTGGACTTTCAGCTTCCAGGATGAATATTGGTTTTGGAAAGAATGAAAGAACATAGATGAAAGAACCTCCTAAATCATGTGTCCATGTATCAAGAGGAACACAGACTGCTAAGTCTGCTTTTAATGAAAATGAAGGCTTATATCCAAATGTTGAAGGGTAATTAGCAAATGAATAAGAAGTTGTTTGTGCTAAATCATGTGAAGGGAACGAAGGGATTTCATTATGAACTAAGGAAACAAATCCAAGTGGAACCTAGCAGTAATTAGGTTTTACCTGGAGCTGTTAGTTTATTGCTAAGAGAGTAATGTACATTTTTTCCATTTATTCTTTCAAGTGATGTGACATTTTTGGCTTGGCCAACATTTATTACCTAGCCCTAATTGCCCTTGAAAAGGTGATGATGAGCCACCATCTTGAACCGCTGCAATTCATGAGATGTAGGAACACCAACGGCTATCAGGAAGTGAGTTCCAGGATTTTGACCTACCGATAGTGAGGGAACGGCGATATAGATCAAGTGTACGTGGTGTGTGACTTGGAGGGGCATTTGTTGCTGGTCGTGTTCACCTGCTTTTAGGTGGTAGAGTTTGTGGGTTTGGAAGGTGTGTTTGAAGGAGCCTTACT